GTTCCCGCGCGCAACACTAGTCGAATTCGGGGAGTCTCGTCCTATCGTCACCCGCCGTGGGAGGGTCAAAGCCCAACTAGTCAAGCGGACCATAAAAAATCCAATCTAGCATTCATAAATATCGATATAAATAATTAATGGAAGCTCTTCCGTAATTAACGATGGAATCAAGTAATATCTTCCAATAATCTTTTAAACCATGGTCAACCACAATTTCATCCGGTGCGACGCCAGATGTTGATATTTCCTCATCAGAACCTCGTAATTTTTGGGTGAATTGCGCGCCAATTCTCTTTGCCCCGTCTCAAAACGGATACTTTGTGGACCATTCCAGCTTCGTTATTCAACGATCCTCTTTTCCGCAGTGCTAAGAAAACGCCTTTGCCCTCAGCAGCCCCAAATACTATCGTAAACACCCCAAAGTTGGCTTCCCATAGAAACCACGGAGAGCAACACTGAACATGAAGATCCCTCTCGGACTTTTGTCGGTCATCTATAAGCTTGAGATGGGTTCATTGCGTGTAGATTTCCGCAACATTTACATCATGTCATTCAGTAGCGCTGCCTGCGGCGGGTTTCGGGTTTCGGGCTTCGTTCGGGCTTCGGATGTAGGATTAAGGGCTCAGGGCTTATAGGGCTTATAGGGCTTGTGGGTGTATTTAGGGCTTAAAAGGCTTTAGAGCGGCTAGGGTTATGGGCTTATAGGATTTGTTTAGGGCTTATAAGTTGTTAGGGCTTAGGGCTTCTGGCCTTAGGAGTTTTTCAGCCCTGGCCCTGCGCCAATCCCCCCTCAACCCTAAACCCTACACCCTTTTGTCAAACCCTAAACCCTAAACCCTCCTTAACCCTAAACCCTAGCCCTAAACCCTTGCCCTAAACCCTAAACCGCAATCCGTGAACCCGAAGCCCTCAAGCACACTTTTTAGGGATTAGGTTTAGGGTTTAGGGTTTGGGGCTGTTGGGTTAAGGCTTAGGGCTTAGAGCTTAGGCTTACGTCCAAAAAGTATCAAGGGCCTCCCTTCCAGCTTGAACCCTTCAAGCAAAAGTTTCAGTTCAGGGTCTTAAAGCTCCTTGCTGTCCTTTCTCTCACATTCCTACTGCAACCGCAAGGGGAAGGACATTTCGTATGCACGGCTTAGTTTGAAGAACTCCGGGATTCTAGGTGGTGTTAGGGCTTAAGGCTTTGGATGGTGCAAAGGGCTGGGAAGCTGAAAACCACAGACCTAACTCTCAAACCCTGTACGAATGCGGATTGGCATGCGGGGTTTTAGGGTTTCGGCCATCATGAAGCCGAAGCGCTCCATCAAGACGTAGGGTTTCGGGTTCAAGCCTAAACCCTAAACCCTAAACCCCAAACCCCAAACCCGAAACCCTAAACCCTAAATGGAGTGAAGTGAGCCCGCTGCTTCGAAGCATAGGCAGAGGGCGGCGGTGGCGTGTAGGGCCGTTTCCTTTGCTTCTGGCAACATTTCCCCCCTTGCCACGGGGTTTCTACGATGTTTCCCCACCAGGGCCCTTAAGTAGTCCTTTCTGCCTGCGCAAAACAAACCCAGCCCCTGAAACCCAAACCCTCGCATTTAGGGTTCATAGAAATTATAGAAATTGTAAAGGGTTTGTGTCCAGAGTTTTGCCGGGTTTTGCCGGGGTTTTGGTTTTTGTTTGGGACACCCTGTCAGGTTTCCGGGGCCTTTGGGGGGCCTTTGTGGGGCATTTTTGGTGTCGGGTTGTCAGTCGGTGGCCTTTTGGCGCTTTTTGCGCCTACCGGGACCTGTTGGGGGTTTCCCATGCCTTTTGGGGCTTCCCGGTGCCTTTTCGGAGCCTTGGGGATTTCTTTCCCTATTCAGGGTCTTTTTTGGCGCCTGAAAACCATGCCTTTGTTTGATTTCTTCACTGTTGTACGAGCTGTTCGTAATGAAACACGTACAATTTCTATTTATCCTGGCCTAGAGGGTTTAGGGTTCAGGGTTTAGGGTTCAGGGTTTGGGGGTTGGCTGACGCCTTCGGAGCCGAAAGCTGTTTGTACAACCCCCTCTCCGGTCCTTTAACGAACCCCGCAGAAACCCGAGTATGCAAGGCCGGGGAGCCCAGTACTCCCCTAAACCCTAAACGCTAAACAACCCCAAACCCTGAAACCCTCAACCCTAAGGCTTTAACACCCCCCAAGCCTGAAACCCTAAACAAGCCCAAACACTAAAATCTTCAACCCCAAAGCCTACTGCCCTGAGCCCCAAGCCTTAAACCCCTAAACCCTCTGCAGTGGTGCAGGCGAGCATCTGCCCTTGCCCACGGTCATCACCCCTATCACCACCTCAGGAGACGTTGGCGTCTCGGCTTATGGGTTAGGGCTTGGGCCTTGGGGTTTCGGGGCTTTCGGGTGTGGGGTTTAGGGCTTCAGGATGTACTAGGATTGTAGGGTTTAGGCTGCAGGGTTTGGGGGGGTTTAGGCTTTTGGGGTTTAGGGTTCTGTGTTTGGGCTCTGGGGGCTTTTGGGGGTGTAGGCTTGAATCATGGGATCTCATTTTGGGGGTTTACGATGATAAGGGTAGGATTCCCCGAAAAAAAGGACCCCAATAAGGTACTCCTAATGTCGTAAACCCTCATATTGGTTTTTCTACCAGAACATCTCGGAAGAATTTCGGCGTAGGGTTTAGGGGTTAGGGCCCAGGGTTTAGGGATTAGGATTTAGGCCCTGCTAAGATTCGTGTTGCAGGGCGGGCAGTCGCTGAACCCTCTTCACATGCAACCCTAAACCTTGCTCATTTATTCATCTGTTATGATCCTATATTTTATATTGATACTCGTGACTCGTGTATACTTACATTGGCATGCAGGATCCCGTGTGCGAGTCCCTCCGAGCATCCCTTTGAAGCTTTGGTGGTCAGGGGATTGGAAAGTTCCGGGAGAATAGCTTGGCAGCTGCAAGGCTTATTCCACAGACTGTGAGCCCGAGAACTTCAACTCTGTCTTAGGCTTAAAGGCTTAGGATTAAGGATTTAGGGTTGAAGGGACAATTTCGGAACCCCAAAACCCCAAACCTCTTGAACCCCCAACTCAAAAGCTGCTTCAACTGCTGACTTGCCAAAGTTCTGCTGACTTGCCAAAGTTCAAAACCAAGGCCGGGACCGCGACTATACCCTCCTGGCGCAGCATGGGGCTGTGGAGCTACGCCGCTCAAAGACTTACGAACGCTAAGATTTTACCTGCACATTGAACTCACCTACACGTTTAATAGTAGTTTGACCAGTGTCCAGGGTTCAGTTTTTGAGCTGAAACGACTCACATACCCTCAAAGCTGGATGCAGAGCACTTGCTGCTTGACCGACAAGACCTTCCTGTTCCGATCCATCCGATGCGCCTGTTGGCATCAGAAGCTCTGCTACACACACTGTTGGAGAGCCACTGCTCAGGCAAAACAGCACCCACAGTATGTTACAGGACGTCTGTCACACAAAAGTGCACTGAGAAGAAAGACAGTGCTCTCCACATCAACTTTAGGCAACCTAGTTGCCAGCACCGACTCCTGCTCCAGAAAAGGCGCATGTTCAATGGCCCTTTCTTCGTGAGCGCAGGTCACCAGCATCATTAGGAAGCCACCTTGAGCATCAAACAAAATCTCTCCTGGACTCGACCCTCAGAAATACGACGAATCTCCAAGGTGACAGAAACACCGTAGGCCACCTGAACTGGCAGCAGGCCTTGGATGGTGTAGGTCTGTCCATTCGCGGAATTGCAGCTCTCCAAGTTCATGCTGCCAAGCATGGAGATTGTCCCTGCGTATTCGCCTTCGTATTCACCTGAACAAGCTGAGAATCCGTCGCTCCGCACCGCTTGCAGGGCGAGGGCGACTTTCCCCTGCTCACTGTCGATGACCATGTTTGCGACAATGGGCATTTTAACCTCTTCGCGTGGCATACGATAGTGTTTTCGCTTCAACGTGGATGTGGACGTGTCAACACCTTCCAGGTAGAACTTCTCAACTGATGGCCCTAGCATCCCTCGTGGCTGTGCTTGAGGGGCTTGCTGCCTCTTTCCTCGCAAAGCCAGCTGGGCGTCCATGGCTTCCACTTAGGGCACGGATCTTGCAAGTCCTGGCGGTCCTAGCTTCGAGCCTTGGAGCTGAAGCGACACGAGCACAGGCGATGATGTGTGTGTCCACAGCATGTCACACGAAAGCTGCATAAGTTCGTGATCGCCATGCTTGAAACAGCTGTTCCGATACTCTGCTCCTGGCGAGCATTGTTGCCGGTGGCTCATGTGGAAATCATGGCCTTTTTGCGGGGGGCGGGGCTCTTCCTGAGTATGCTCCTTACGGTTCAGGGACCCCAGCCGCTGGCAAAGCGCACAACATGTATTTGCTAACATGTAGTTATGTCATTCCAGCTTTCTGCACCACGCATCATTCAGAGATCCCCTGTCGGGCAATGCAGCTGACATGGTTCTTCTTGTTTGCAGTAGAGTGCTGGGCGGCGCGGGGACCCGAAACGCCCTCCGGAACCCTCAACCCTAAACCGCAGCAAAACGCAACCCCAAGGACGTGCACGAGAGAGAGGAAGCGCGCCAAGGAGGCCACCACCATAACCCCTGGAGCCGCCGCCTTGGCCTGGGACGAATTGGGGTGTAGGGTTTAGGGCTTAGGGCAAAGGGCTTAGGGTTTAGGGTTTAGGGTTTAGGGTTTAGGGTTTAGGGTTTAGGGTTTAGGGTTTAGGGTTTAGTTCGGATTTAGGGTTTAGGGTGTGCCAAGCCTGACGCGCGGCTGCTTGCTGCCCGCCCGACCCTCCTGATGTTCGTTGTGTAATCTGTTTTTCTCTTTTTTTCCTTAACCCCCTTCTCTATCATACAAGTACACGGAATTACAATCACGTCGCGCAGAAGTTGACTTGTAGCCGAAGGATCCAACTTAACTTGCACGCAGATGTTTACGGTGAGAGAGAACTCTTTCCCACGAACGGCCGCCGCCAGAACAACAGCACCAGGTTATTGATGAGATTATACGGTCCAGATTATGGACCTTAGTCGTGGCGTCGAGCTTCGGCGCGCTTCAGAAGATAAGGGCTCTCCAGGGTATGTCCCCAAAACCTGAAACCCAAACCAAACCACATCAGCTCCTTGCGACCCGAAGCCCCAAGGGTATAGGGCATAGAGTTTAGGGTTTATAGGGTTTAGAGTTATAGGGTTTAGGGTTCATAGGGGTTAGGGTTTAACCCTGAACCCTCAACCCCATAAACCCTGAACCCTCCACCGACCCCGAAAACCCAAAAAACGCCCCGAGGCGGCGACCATAAGATTGGTTCCGTGGCTGATTGCCGCCTCGGCCTGGAGTTGAGGGCTTTGAGGTATAGGATTTAGCGTCTAGGGCTTGGGGTTTAGGGTTCAGGGCTTGGTGTCTAGGGTTTAGGGTCAGGGCGTGGGATTTAGGGTTTGGGGTTTAGGGTTTGGGGTTTCGGGTTTAGGGTTTAGGGCTTAGGGCTTGGAGGGTTTGGGTTGGGGTTTAGATTTAGGGTTTGGACCATAAACCTTAAACTTGTTTGGGCTTATTTCAGGGTCCCTCAACCCTGCTTAGGGTTTAGGGCTCGGGCTTGCAGGGCGCTTGGAGCTGGGGAGTGTTTGGGTTTAGGGGCTCAAGGGCTTAGGGGTTTAGGGGCTTAGGGGTTCTGGAACTCCTGTTGGGATTTGAGGCTCACAGGGCTTTGACGTCGGCTTGAAACTTGTAGGGCTTTGTTAGGTTCATCCGCTGCTGGGTTTTCTGTCAATTCTGGGGTGTAGGGTTGTAGGGCTTTAGGGTTTTGCCTGCTCAATATTGAACTGTTCAACTGCCCAAACACTAAGCCCTATACCGCAAGCCCTAAACCCCAAACTCCAAGCCCCAAACCCTAAACCCCTGAACCCTAAACCCCAAACCCCCAACCCCAAACCCGAAACCCTAAACCCCAAACCCCAAACCCCAAACCCTAAAGCCTAAACCCTAAACCCTAAACCCTAAACCTACCGGGCTCTCGACCTCTCAGGCATACGTAACACTTGGCCAACCAATCACCCCGTGCTCCTTTTTGCTTCACGAAGCCCCTTGAAACTGTTCCCCCTTGTACTAACAGTCCTGAATCGGGATGATAATGCCCCCCTCGTGTAGTCCCTATTCAGGATTGTTAACATAAGGGGGAACATCCCCAAACCCCTCCACCCCCCCCCCCCCAACAAAAAAAAAAAAGAAGATGATAATCCTTATGCCCTGAAACCCTAAACCCTAAACCCTAAACCCTAAACCCTAAACCCTTATGAGGAAGAATGCGTTCCATGTTTCTCGGGGGTGGTTCCGAAGCAAGGCGGGAGTGTGCTGCTCAGTGAGCGGCTTCCTCCGCCTCCCCCTCCTCCGCCGCGCCACTCCTGGCAGAACGGCAGGCTAGAAAGGGTTTAGACGACTTTAGGGGTTTAGGGTTTAGACTTAGACTTTAGGGGTTTAGGGTTTAGACTTTTGGGGTTTAGGAGTTTAGGGTTTAGACTTTTGGGGTTTAGGGTTTAGACTTTTGGGGTTTAGGAGTTTAGGGTTTAGACTTTAGGGGTTTAGGGTTTAGACTTTTGGGGTTTAGGAGTTTAGGGTTTAGACTTTTGGGGTTTAGGGTTTAGACTTTTGGGGTTTAGGAGTTTAGGGTTTAGACTTTAGGGGTTTAGGGTTTAGACTTTTGGGGTTTAGGAGTTTAGGGTTTAGACTTTTGGGGTTTAGGGTTTAGACTTTTGGGGTTTAGGAGTTTAGGGGGTCTAGGGGTTTAGGGGTTTAGGGGTTTAGGGTTTAGACTTTTGGGGTTTAGGGTTTAGACTTTTGGGGTTTAGGAGTTTAGGGGTTTAGGGGTTTAGGGGTTTAGGGGTTTAGGGGTTTAGGGGGTCCTGGTGCTAGAATCCCTATTACGGACTGTTAGTATACGGGGAACATCCCAAACTATTACCCCAAACTCCAACAACTTCTGACGCAAATGGGGCAGCCCAATTTGATTGGGGTTCCGGGTTTAGGGTATCGTTCAAGCCTGAACCCAGAACCACTATTTGGGCTTAGTCTAAGACTAAACCCTAGGCCCTAAACCCGAAACCCTGAACCCTCAAGGCCAGGTGAATAGAAATTGTTGTGTTTCAATTTCAATTGCTGTGACAATTTCGACCCACCAACCCCACAAGCACCCCCCCCCCCCCCCCCAAAACCCCCAAACCCTTACCCCTGCACATTGGGCACTTCGGGAGGGCTCCCAGAGGGGCATCCAAGAGTGTGTAGGGATCCAAGACCAGGGTGGGCCCCCCCCTCCCCCCCCCCCCCCCCCCCCCCCCCCCCCCCCCCCCCCCCCCCCCCCCCAAGCCTGGAAAGCCATCACAATTTCACATTGAAGGGCAAAAGAAAAACCGGTCAAAACCCGGACAAAACCCCGTCAAAACCCGGACACAAACCCTATACAGTTTCTATAGCCTGGAAAGCCAAAACCATTTCATTCAAAAGCAAAAAAAACCGGTCAAAACCCGCAGTTCTTGCACCTCCACACCGTTTTTTGGGTCCTCGAGCCTGGAAGGGTTCTGGAGGCCCCTGGGAGAAGGCCCCTGGGAGGCCTCTGGGAGGCCCTAGCCTGGAAAGCCAAAACAATTTCATTCAGAAGCAAAAGAAAAAACCGGTCAGAACCCGCACAAAACCCGCACAAAATCAAAACCCCGGCCACAAACCCTATCCAATTTCTATAAACCTCACCACATCAGAAGGGCAAGCTCGGTCCTGGCGACCACTAGGTCGGTTGTCGTCGCGCCTTGGCTTTGGGACGCCGGGGTCGTGGTGTGCAAGAAGTCGGTGCGGCCGGGCTTGGTTTCTGGCTCCTAGACTTTCAAAGGGGTACAAGCAGAGAAAGGCTGCTTGTTGCTAGTAGACTTCCCAAGACTGCCCCATATGTACACAAAAACCTGCAAGGAGTTCTATGCACGCACACGAAAGAAGATGGACTCTACTTCATGAACTGTCCTGGACCAAATTCGGGTTCCCTGGCTGCTAAGGATAACAACTCAACTGCTTTTTTAAAGGGCACCGGAAGCCTAAGGGGTTTAGGGTTTAGGGGCGTGTAGAACAGCCCCGAATGCATGAGGCTATTTGAGGGATACTAGGATGGAGCCCTAGAAGGGAACCCTTTATGACCTCTACGTCCGCCTCGTATGAGCGGCTTCCCAAACCCCTTGCTTGTGCTAGTGGACGCAACTTGGGGGGGAGGGGGGGGGGGGCTTTTCAAGTGCCCCGTCGCTTGACAGGGATTTGGCATCAGATATTTTTGTACGACTTAGGATCCCTAAACCCTAAACAATGAAGACCCCAAATGCTATCCCTGAACATCCGAACCCCTTGGCCCCTTGCGAGCCGTAGCCGCTGCGCCCGCCTCCAGCCTTGGTGGCAATGAGTCAAAAACTCAACCCTAAACCCTAAACCCTACACCCTAAACCCTAAACCCTAAACCCTGGTTGGTGGGAGGCTCGTAACGGGGAGGACGAAAGCACAATCTAGAGACCTCAACGTGACGTGGGGCAAAACAAAATCCTAAAACCGCCTCTGAACACCCCGAAGCCACAAAACTGACGGGGTTTAGGTTGGGGTTTGGGGGTCGGGGTTTGGGTCCGCCGACCCTGGCGGCGTGTTGGATAGGTTTCTGGAGGTGAAACAGCTTTTCCGTGGAGGGCCAGGCCACCCACACCGCGTAAACTCATGGACCATAGGCGGTTTCGCACAGGGCATAGGGGCCCGACCCCCCCCCCCCCCCCCCCCCCTGCTCACCCCCCCTCCCCCCCCCTTCCCCCCCCTACCTTTCCCTCCTCAAGGATCGTAATCAGGCATCAAAGAGGGCCAGGCCACCCACACCTGTTACCCCCCCCCCACCCAAACACGGGTGCTGGGTCTGGCCTTTGAAATTGTGCCAAGCCGCTTCAGCTCCTAAACTGTTTGGGTCCTGGTGCTACCCCCTACCCCCCCCCACGTTTCACAGAGGCGCGAGCGTTTCACAACTTTTGGGATTCTGCCGAGCAGGCTGCGATGCTCTTCGAACCATGCG